GCATTTGACTAAGCTAACTGATGGCTATAAAAATGAAGATACATTGCATAAGGAAACTGTCAAAATGTCAAAAGCTTTTTTTTTTCTCCCTTAACAATCACCCCTTAAACAGAAGGAAAGATGTTTTTCTTTGCAATTTAGTTTTAGATTCTATTACACAATATATCATTGTGACTGACAGTAGTTAACATTTAGATATTGTTGACCTATGTGATGTGTCAGGTTTCAAGAGACTCCTACAGAAAGCTTGAAAATACTTCTACATAGTCAATGCAACCCAAGGAGTCAAACTGCCCTGTGGATAAATGAATATGGTGTTAGCTAATGCTCTAAATTAACATGCATTAGATTTCCTGGGATGGTTGTTTGAAACATAAGTCTCCCTGGCTGGCAGTCAATATTAATAACCTAAAATTTCAGCCAACTGAAGTTATAAATCTTCCGATTGTTTACGTGATTACATGCTATAGACCTAAATACAGAAGTTTAACTATTTTTTACAATCAAACCATTATAATTCCAAATGCCACAAATTTTCACACAATATGGGTGGTGACCATAAGAACTAGCTAGTCCTCTTTATAATCCATTTTCAAGGTATAAAGTTGCACATGGGGTATAAATAACATGAGATCATAGGTCTAGCACTGGTTTTTACACTCCCTAGCATCTATTCTTATCTCTATGGTTGATGAATTAAAATTCAAGTTTCCTTGTAAACATTTATTTAAACATTTGTAGTTTCCTATGTATAAATATTTCTTTTACAGAAATGCACATACACATAAAATCAGTCATCTTGAGATTCAGGACTACTATGGAATGTAAAATCTAATTACACAACAGAGAAGGTAAAACGCCAAGTCACATTAGCTCCACAAAGAGCTTTATGGAAATAAAATTGTTTCTCTACATTAGCACAAAAACAATGTTTCTGCTATTGGAAAAATAGCTATGCACGTGAAGGAAAGGAGAAGAGCTGAACAAGGGAAACATGAAAAGACCTCAGGAAAAAAGAAAATTCAAACACCTGATAGTTTACTAGACACTGAAAGGAAAAAGGCCTAAGAACATTAAAACTTTGGTGGGAAGGGAAGTGGTAGAACAAATAGAGAGGTCTTTCCATTTCATTATCTACAGCGTTATCCAAGAACTATCTGCAGGTAAGTAAATCCAGGCCATAAAAAAAAAAAAAAAAAAAAAAAAAAAAAAACCACAACAAAAATCCATCACAAACAAAAAAAAAAAACCACAAAAAACCCACCCAACACCAAGTCAACAAGGACATGGATAACAGCAATCCAATTTATGTAGTCTACTGGGATTTCAGAGTAATTTCTGAAGACAACATTTAACCAAAGCTTTTAACTAAGCAGCAATGAAGTAAGATGGAAGGTCCAGACACAGACAAATAGGCAACCAAAAAGAAAAATAGGGCACGAGCAAACCGACTGTTCCAGCCTGAAGGGAGGTTACTGCATATTCAAGAAGTCTCTGCTGGTAAGCAAAATTCAGAAGTGATAGAGAAAGAGCGCAAGTGGCAAGATGACCAAGTTTGCTCAGTACAGAGATATGCAATGTAGTAAAAACAAGAACTGGCAAACATGAACTGACAGAAGGATCTTATGAGGACTGAGTGACTATGTAGTAAGAAAACAAAATTCAGCACAGATAGGTGTACAATGAGGTATATGGTGGAAAGCAACCCTAAAATTCATAGAAAATTACAGGCACCAAGCTAACTATAGTTCCATGAAATTATCAGTTCAATGCATGAAGTAGTGCAGGATAAAATAATTAAGAAAGGAAGACAGAATGAAACAGGAAACATCACTATAGAATCATAGGGTAATTCAGCTCAGAAGGGGCAGATGGAAGTCTTTTGTCAAACCTCCTGCTCTAAGGAGGAGGTCACCTGTGAGATCAGACCAGGCCGCTCAGGGCTTTTTCCAGGCACATCTTGAAAGCCTGCACAGCCTTTCTGGGCAATCTCCACTGCCTGCCTGTCCACTCCACATGCTTTGTATGGAAAAATAGGGGAAAATGCTTCTTATATCCAGGCTGAATCTTATCTCAACTTACTCCCATTTCCTCTCATCCTCCCAGTATGCACTGCTGTGAAAAGCCTGGCTCCATCTTCTCAAAGGTCAGCTAATGCAGACCATCCCATAGCTTCCCAGGCTGACTTTTTGGCCTGTCTGCAATTAATCAGAAACCTCTTTGATTCTCCATGACCTTTCAAAGATGATAGAGAGTGGCCTTGCTAAGACTTTTCCCCCATCTCTCAACACGACTGGATGCAGTTCAGTGGGTCCTGTGGACTTATATGGGCAAAGTTTCCACAAGTAGTCTCTGACTCAGTCCTTAACCACTGCTCAGAGTTCCTCTCCACAACTAAGCACAGCAGTCTGGGAGTACTCATCAACCAAAACTGAGACAAAGCAAGGCACTGAGTACCTCAGCCGTATTTAAGCCTGCTGTCACTAAATCACCTGTTCTACTCAGCAACAGAACCACATTTTCCTTGCTCAGCCTTTTATTAGTGTAGCATGAAAACCTCTTCTTGTTACCCTAGACACCCCTTGAGGCATCTACTCTAGGTTAGCTTTCACTATCCTAACACCACTGGGCAACACTTCCAAATTCCTCCTCAGTAGCCCGTCTCTGTTTCCAGATCCTGCACACTGCCTGCTTGTATTGGAGCTTGGCCATGAGTTCCCTGAGCAGCAGAATGGACCCTTCTTGCAACTAGAGGATGCTGGCAGCTCTCCTGAGCTGCTCTGCCCTTCAAAGCCACCTCTTATGGGTGGGGCTTCCTGAAGAAGCCAATGTCTGCTCTCCTGAATTCTAAGGTCTGTACCCTGTTACTCCTTCCTCACCCCCATCAGGACCTTGAATGCCACTATTTCACGGTCACTGCAGGCAAGAGTACCCACATTACTACTTCTCCAACCAGTTCTTCCATTTTAGGGAACAGCAGATCCAGCTCCTAATTAGCTCATCAGTACTTATATCAAGAAGTCATCCCTGATACTCTCCAGAAATCCGGTTTGCTTGTGTCCTGCTGTGTTGGACTTCCAGCAGGCATCAGGATAAAGTTCCCCATGGGAACCACAGACAGTGATCCAGAGACTTCCTTGCCTTTAAAGAAGGCTTTGTCCACATCCTTATCCTGACGAGGGTGGTCTGTAACAGACTGACCAGGGTGGTAACTTTACCAGCCTCTTCTCTGATCCTGACCCACAAATTCTCACCTTAAAATGTCACCTTGTCCCCCACAAGTACCACATATGTTTGAGCTGTTCCTTCACAAGGAAGGCAATGCTTTTCCTTGTCATCCCTACTTGTCTTTCCTGAAGAGCCTGTATCTATACATCCTACCACATCATAAATTCATAGCCCACTCACACCTTAAGAACTTTCCTGGTCCCCCAACTAAAATGCAACTAGAGCTAGCAAAGATCTGGGGAACAGCAACAAGGCGGATCAGAGGTTAGAACAGATTCGATATAGGCAACAATTCAGCAGTCAGCTTGGAAGAAAAAGAGAGACCACCAACCTGTTGAAAGAGAGTGCAACAGCAGTCCACAGAACTGTAATGGCAATCAATCTTTAACTGTCTTGTCCACCAACAGACATGGTGGCCACCAGATAAAGCCAGTGGGAGCCAGGTTCAAAAACCAAACAAATCCAAGGTGGTGGTTCATGCAATAGGGAGCACAACTATGGAATTCCTACGCAAAGGACCCTATGGGTGGCAAGAAGTTTATGAGATTCAAAGGGAGACGAGTATGTAAGAGAGGTCCACTGGGGATTACCAACTAAAACTGCAAAGGAACAAGAAACTCCCCCAAGATGAAAGCAGTCTGGAGGCTTGGGAGTGTTTTAACAGAGCAGTATCATCATACTGTCTGTACTCCTCTGCAAGCATCCATTTGCAGAAATTGCTAGGCAGAACATTGATCTAAGTGGACTCAGACTGAAGTACAGCAGCCATTACTATGAAAGTAACAATATTAGTTTACCTGAAGTGCTTCAGCCTGACAGTAATTTGTTAAAAATGGGTATTAAATACTTCATTTGCTTCCTCTCAAAATGTCAGACTATGAAAAGTTACAATATGCTAAATTTGCTTCTTGTAGACTAAAAATAAGTTTCCCCCTACAGTTTACTGTGGGTTTAGACGCTTATGAATATATCTACAGATTATTTACAGAAACATAGAGATTTAGCAATCACTTCTAAAAAAAATCTCTTAAAAGATGGATTCATGAATTTTATGTACAATGGATTATTGATATTAGAATATTAGATTTCACTAGACAAGTTGCAGTACCTGTACTAATTTCCTTATTGACGTCATATTTAAAAAAATATCAGCTATATACACACAAAAATAGACTAAGAGCACAAATATTGGCTGTATTAGGTAAAACAACCCAAACCAGCCACAATTGCACCCATACCAGACCTTCACTTTCTTCCTTCTGAAGCTTCCTTATCAGTTATTCTTTCTTTTACCCTACTCAGCTATTTCCTTGTAGCTATTCTAGTAAGCACTCCGTGACTGAGGGTGTCTTATTTCCTCTACCTACCTCCATTGTCAGCCACCTGCTTTCAGTCATTCGCATGCGTTCCTTTTAATATAAAAAAGTCTGCTCCTCATCTGTAATCCAATTTTCACATGTTTTTAGGCATCCACAATTGTCATTGATATCAGCATGAGCTGCAGACACCCAGGATCTTCAGAGACAAAACTTCTTTTTATTAAGAAACATTTTGAAGTTTTACTTAGTTATGATACAGTACTTTCTACACTTCAATCAGACTTATGGATGAACATGTTAAGTGATGCAATAAATAAGTAATGCTCAAAAACACCTCGTGTGGTGGTTTAAGCTTCCCAGGAAAAGAGATATCTTCAGTTATCCACTTAAAACAACTCACCTCACATTAAATACAATGAAGAGTATACACAGCTAATTGAAGAGGGTGCTTACCTGAATAACAGCACTAAACCAACACGTGTTGCCAACATTCTTTAATCCTACTGGACAGTTGTCCTGCCGCTTTCGATCATAAGGGTTTGGAGAGTCACTCCATACCTCTGGATGTGTCCTCTTTAAACTTGCTTTATTTTCTGCAATACTGGCTTCTAGAACTCTTCGGGAACAGAAGGGATGGAAAAATGTGAGAAAAAGCAAAAAAAAAAAAAAAAAAAAAAAAAGGAGACATAGTAAACCACCTTCAGTTACTAACATAGACATCTTAATTACATATTTTGCTAACTTATTGTTGCTGAACTTGGTTTCAAATTTATATGCAACAATATGTCTTCAAAATAAAATGCTATTTTACTTTTAGATATGTTATAGTAATTCCACTGCCTTTTGGAAAATGGTATCAGTGAGTAAGTGAATCTCCTGTGAGAGTTCTACATAAGAGCCATGTGTATAAGTCATCAATTATTTAAGAATGAGATTCAAATAGGATGGACAACAAGAATTTTGGGCAGCGCTATTAGTATAGTGCTTTCATCTACAAATGCTTTTATTGGTATGCAAAGCACAAAGTCACCAATATTTATTCTACTGACAAGAAACCAAAGCTAGCTAGGCAACTTTCAAAAATGGAAGACGCTTTTTTAGTTTCCATTTTTGCAACTTATGCAACTGTATTTACCGCTTTAGATAGCAAGCAATTACTTTAGGAGCCATGGAAAGACATCTCCCCACAATTTTTCAAATGCCAGCCAACAAGTTAATTGTACGTCTCAATGACCACACTCTTTGCGGGAAACTGTTCCATGTGATTTATGCTGAGTGTTCCTATTTCGCATGACAGTAAGATCTGATGTGTGTTATGCTCCCAAACTCAAGCTTCACTCAACACAGTATTTCTATACAAGCACACATTCTTAGCCTGGTGACAAAGAACACCGTAAAGGTAACTTCTGGTAGCCACATACTCTAAATAGAAAGATGGAGATGGATACATCCAGGTCATATAAAAACAGTTCTAACTAACAAGCAAAATTGCCTGGCATGTGCACTATTGACACAGTCACTATCCCCAACCATCTAGTCCGGCTACCATACAAAAGACTGAGCTGATACTGAACTACTACGTTTGCCAAGCACAGGATTTCAGGAGCTGCACGACAAGCATCGAAGTAGTCCATGCAGCCTGAAGGGTTAGCCCCCTTCAGGTCTAGACTCGCTAAACATCAAAGAAAGGCACATCCAGGCTGGTCTGTAAATGGAGTTACTAAAGGACAAAGTTTGAACACCTTAGAAAAAGCAAAGAAACTGGGAGGGGGAGGCAGACACAGACCCACATGACGTAACCCCTCAGTTTCCTAACTGTAAATTTTTGTTTCAAGGTATGCTCTTGTCAAAGAAAGAAAAGGTGTCTTACAAGATCTACAGTAAATTCATATAATCCTTCATAGTTCTTGTATATAAGTCCTTTGAGGGACACCCTAATTTGGTATTGCTACTTATTTGGAAAAAACAGAAGCATTCAGAATTTGACATCCCATGTGGTATAAATACCGCTTTGTATCAATACATCTCAGGAAGAACCCAAGACTTGTAATTTCCTAATGATTAATCCATTTCTGACATTTAGGTTTTGGCATATAACCTCATAAACAGCACATCTTTTGAAAAAAGACACTGAAAGGACAGGTATACAATCCTCTAAGACTTTCTGCTCTGACATCTCTTCAAGCAATGCATAGGGGTGGAACCTGATTCTTCAGACTCTTACAGTAGCAGTGATAATGTTATGTCCTAAGCAAACCCCAAAATGTAAAGAAACAGTCAAATTCATTTCCCTTCTCACTGATACAATCCTTCAAAAGTGTTAGATGACCAGCATATCTCTGCTTTGAGATTAAAAGTCATTTGATGGGATCATTAAAAATTAATTCAAAACAAATGTCATACATACTGCAAATAATTTCTCATTTGGGTAGAATTACCTAAACTCTTGTTTAAACTAAATTGAAGGGACTTTTAAAACTCACGGGAAGACTGACAGACTATAATAAATTTAGAATGATGTACCAGGACTACAATACCTACTCCATACCACTTTTGTTTCAAGGAAACAATCAAAACTTTTTATTTCCCCCCCCAAAGCTCAAGAATATTTCAAGATATTTCAAGATGCAAGTCCAGAAAAACATATATTCTCGAACTGAAATAGTTCCTTGACCCCACGGCTATTCCCATTTATCAACTTAATTACCTACTAAAATTTCTTCCTTGTATTTGTTTTTGTATTTCTTTAGCAGGTGAGGGATATCCTCATCTCTAGCTCCACCTCAAATGTTTCCATCAAAAAGTATTTGATTCTCAAAGCTTCATGATATTGTTCCTTATTTTAACTCATAACATTATCTGTCCTCAGAGAGTACATGCAATAGCTGCACGCCTTATGTGCCAAATTAATTTTCAGCCGTAATGATAGCTGTGATGCAAACTGAAATAAAAGTCAGCCCAGTAAACAGGAACCTAATGATCAGCTCAAAAGCTACATAAATAAATGTGTTTACCAGCATAGCGAGTATACCTCTTACGCCATAATGTTCATTAAGTTATATTCATACAGTCCTGATTTGGGAGACTACCTTCACAAAGCATCTTACTCGCACATTGCTCTCAACAAAATGAGCATCTTTCCAGAAAGTTAGTACAAGGATTCAACAATTAGGCAGCCGAAACACCCTCTCTGCGACCCTTGGAGACCACAGCAGCAGTCGCTAGCAGCAGAGCCATAAGCTACGTGCAGGGTCTGGCATGTCTCTTGCCTCATGGGACCAAAGGCTTCCCCACCTCCAACTGCTAGAATCTTGTTTGGAGGGAAATTCTGGAGTCAGGGTTAGTTAATGCCAGGCTTGGCATGAGACCTGAAAGCAGTATTTTATTTCTCTCTGTAACAAGCTGGGCACAGCCAAGCAGCTTTGCAGAGCTACTTGCATGGGGCTAAGCCAGACAACGCAATAAGCCTCAGGCAAAGCGACTCCACAGCACTAAAGTTCAACCAAACCATTTTGAGGAAGCCCACTAAACATGCTGCAGAAAAGCCTGCTCCGGCAGACTACTCAGCTACAAGAACAAGGAAAGGTCTTTATACTGTGGTCGCCTTACAGCTAGTCATCCAGGAATATCCCCAACCCTACATCCCTCCCGTTTCACCTTTGATCTATACACACAATGCAGTGTCCCCAGCAGTTTCGATGACCACGTTACAAAAAAAAACCAAAACCCAAAACCAAATCATGCCTAGGGGTTCTGCACATCCTTATGCACTTATAGTATGGGTTCTCATTTTAATATGGCTACTACCCTAGGCACAACACAGGCCAGCTAATTTCTCCTTTCAGTTGCATCTTACCAGCTTTGCCAGTGAAGCCCTATCTGGCTAGCCTCATTCTCCTTCAATCCATGAAAAGCAATATAAAAAAGAGAAACCTTTTCGTATTGGGAAATACAACGAATATGCACATTTCCCTGGGAGATTTAAAGAGGGAGTAGTAAAAAAAAAACCCAAACTGTAAGTGTGCTATGAACAAGATGCTCAGCTCGGGCACTCGGACATTTCAGCTGCACTCGTCTCAACACCTACATAGTAATCAGATTTGTCCTCGTTAAGTAGCACAAGGCAATTACGTTCAGGAAGACAAATTCTACGTGCATTACAACATTAATTACACAAGTCAAGAAATTCCATTAACGTTCCCTTGGAAACCTTAACAAAATCAGTGCAAATTAGGTTCCAAACCACTATGAATACCTTTGAAAAAAAATATCCTCCACACCAAAGACTATTTAAATATGCACACATCCTACATTATTAAAAATGAAAGATTTCCACAGTTTAATTTGCTTATTTGACTTGCTATTTGTTTTCTGCTTCTTATTTAACCTAAAGAAACAAAAGTAAATGGCTGCATCGTGGCTGACCACAGTGTTCTTTTTGTTTTGAGAAGTTCTGCGCAGATACTGTGCTTTCTATTGGAATGCCAACATTCTTCTGTGGGGTGTTAACTACAAAGTGATTTTTTTAAATTTAAAAAAAAAAAACCACAGTCTGAAGTCCTGTCCTTAAGGAAACTGATTGAACAGTTCAGATCAAGAACTCAAGAATTCTGAGCTTCCTGTATTTGTACAACTCTGACATAATTTGGCATCCACTAAGGGTGTATCTTGGTATGTAACTAAGTTGATCTAATACCCCAATGCTGCCAAAACCCCCAAGATTCTCACCTCTTCTCTGCCTCCATTCACACGAAAAGTCCTATTTCCCTTCCTTGTGTTATGATACACTCTGGATCTTTCAGTCAATATTTCTGTATGGCTTTGGGAGATGAATTCATGCAACAAATGCTCCAAAGAATATTACAGCCAAGTATAGATGATGTGATATTGTGTGCAGGCCATATCCCCCTTGGTAGCAACAACCTCTTAATTTGACACATGCTACTGTGTGTAATTTTACCGTCAAATATACATCTCTCATCAGAAGACCAACATTTTTCTCTGTATATAACTGAACAGATTATCTACGTGCCTTTGTACATACAGAAGAAAAAATTGCATACTTTGTTATTTTCCACAACTAGAAAAAAAATACACCATAATTTAAGTAGAATGTATTTATAATACTTAGTTATGGGCTAAGCAGGTAAGACCAAAAAGGGCTTTTTAGTCTGAGAAGTGAAAAACAAAGTCTACAGGAAAAAACCTAAAGCTTTGAGGCTCCCAAGAAGTAAGCACAGCAGAAGCAGTCAAAGCTTGCAGAAGGAAAAAAAAAAAAAAGGGAAAAAGATTTCCATGTCCAGAAATAGGTCGATCTTTCTAAGTGTCTGCCTAAATCACAACTCTGTAATTATGACAATTCTGTCCTTCAAAAAGGAACATGAAAGAGCGAAACTGCTGAAACAGAACTGCACAGAACTTCCACCATAATCTTGTACACATGCACATACAGAGGTCTTAGGAAAAGAAAAGCCACCCCTTAAAATCTTCTTGCAATTACTAATGAGAATGTAAAACCCTCTTATCCCACCTTTCTCTCCTAGAATATGTTATCTTAAACTCATATAACAAGATCGCTTTTATCACAAATGGGAGGAGAGAGGGAGGAGTACGTTTATTCTCGCAGTTAGTACATTTATTTTTCAAAAGGAAAAAGAGAGTGATTATGGATAAAGTAACACTCTCCTTATTCTCCGAGTTGGACTTTTCTGGGAAGTCATTTAGTCATACAGTGAACTGACAAAAAGAATTACTGTGGTGAATCTCCCCCATCTAAATCAATTTTTTATAAAATTAGTCTTTTACAAGGGAGGCAGTACTTAACCTAACACAAGGATCAAATCATTGCCCTTCTCCCCTAGAACAAGGCCAGCCACAGATAAAGACCTACACCCCTCCCACACAACCCTACACCCAGCCTTAGTTCAAGTCCCATGTATTTCATAATTATATCTATATTTACATGTAAACACACACTGTACAAAAAGTTATTGTAAAATCTGATCAGAATTTAACTCACAGATTCTTATCATGCCCAAGTTGAGAAAGTTAAGTTCATAAAACTTTAAGAAGTTAGCTTCACTCAAAGCTTATAAATCCTATTTGTTAAATAGGTTAATAACATAACTTTATCAGCTAAAATACAGCAGCTGCTCTTAGTATACTCAAATCATAGCATTACTACCCCCTCCCGCAATCTCAGCCTTAGCGCAGAGGTAAGCATTACTGTAAAATGAACACTGCAAAAAACAGGAGAAAGAATTTTTTAGCGTCTTCATTATATTTTGTTTTCATTGCTTTTTACCTGATACAAGAGAAACTTTTAGTTTTAGATCCTATTTAAATATGACCGTATATCCTCTACCTCCATCCACTTCCTCAATATTTAAACAAATACATCAACATGAAACATACTATTAAATTCTAGCCCACATGTAATAGACCACTTCCCGGTGTGGAACATACAATACATTAAAGCAACATCCTGAAGCCAAGCATATCAGTAGCACAAGTGAAAGTAAACAAGTTATTCTTTGTTAAATTAAAAGTTAAAAAAAGCAATACAGGCCAATCTCCAACTCTTTAATTTAATTTCTGCTTTATATAAGTTGTTTGTTTACCTGCTAATGGCTTGTTCCTCATCTGTTATTCCAGTCTCCCTGAATGCCCTGTTTGATTCCTCCAAACTCAAGGCAATTGCCCTCTGAAGATCATCTTTATCATCTCCAGTGAGATCAATCACATCTGAAAAGCAAAACTATCTTTCTCAAAATTAAAAGTGAAACAGAAGGAAAGGCAAGTCTTACTGTAGAGGAGAGAGAGCCCACGTGGATTGCTGAGCGCCATTCCAGTCCATCCCTCCTGTACCCTGCGCTCTTCCAACCACTAACCCTGCTAATGGCTCCCTTCTGCCTCCAAGCAGAGTAAAAACCTCAGCAGCTTGCTCTTGCTATGATATGATGGGCAATAGTCTTCCTTCCTCCTAATGATCTTAAGTTTCAAAAAGCTATGGGACAAATCTAGGAACCCACGGTTTCTGAAAGCCCTCTTAGAACAATACACTTAGGTGTATTACATCAGCTACCATAATCAGTTGCTTCCAGGAAACACATGATGAAGACAACCTCCTCTTAAAAAGGATACCTTAACCGAGCATAGTTGATTTTCCCTCTTCATGGAGGAACACGTGTAGAGTTTTCCCAGTACAACCCCAAATTCTATACATATTTCTGTGCACTGCTGAGCCAAATACTTTCACACAATTTCATAACATGTGGGAGAGCTCCTTACTCAACCTAATTCTTTTCTATCCTGTCTGTGCATTCCTTTCCTGAACATATTTAAACCCAATTTCTGTCTACTGGAAGTATCCCATCTCAACAGGAGAGTTAAGAAAACAAATACTGAAGTCAAAATGAGGATCCATACTTGAACACGTGGGGAATGCTGGATGGGCTACTGACTGGGTAACAAAGACAAAAACAACCCTACTTCTACCTTCCTCTCCAGCTCCCGTTATCTAAAGAATCAGACAGTAACATCCCCATAAACCTCCCTGTTTCCCGACGGTAGCAACAGCACTCCCCCTCCTGAGTACCAAGGGATTTCACTACCCACATCACACCCCGACACCAGTCCATCCCCCCATCAGGCACTGCCGTGCTTTCAGAGCAGCCAGGGCCAACAGGAATGCCCATCAACCACACAAGACATTCAGAAAAGTCAAGGCCATTGGTTGTCCTGATTTCAAGGGTCAAAAGTCTCATTTTGCCGGTCAACCAGACAGAAAGAGAGGGAAACATGCAAGAGAGACTTATGTACAATATTAGACAGACACGCACACGGAATGTTGGTTGTTTTCAGTCTCCCTCCTCTAAGGCCAAAGTTTACCCAAAGAGCTATGAAAGGGACTACTCTCCAGCCTGGAGTTTGGACACTGGAAGCTAAAAGACTCTGGGAGAAAGAGCTACAGATTCAAAACTGATAATGGCTCACAAAGAGAAATGAGCAGCTTGCCTGCATTTCTCCTTCCACAGGCCAGCTCAATTACCCATACCCAAAGGGCTTCACCGTCTAGTCTCCAACTTTTCCCCTGGATGAGCTGACTGGCTGTAGAGACAGCTTCCCCTGTTTCCGTGGGCTTACTCATCTGTGACAATTCTCATTGGATCAAAATAAAACACTAAACTTATGATACTAAAATCATTGCCATAGCTGTGTATGAAGAGAAAGTGGGATGACTTGTCCTAAGAGAAAGCTGAAACTAAAGAGAAGTTGTAAAAGAAACTTCTGTTAACACCAGCATTTTCAAAAAACTAGCTTTCAACTTAGCTCTGTTTCCTCCAAATAAAGATGGTTGAATTTCTATTTTATTGAGTGAGCTTTTAAGGAAAGCACTCCTACCTGCAAAGTAAACCGGGCAATTTGGCATGATCTGGAAGTACAGAAAAACACTATGACCACAAAAGCAGCACTTCATAATTTTATTCTTAGTTTTTTATAGTCAGCTCAGGTCTTGCAGCATATCAGAAGGATATCAGAAGGATACTTCAACTCAGATGCCTGAAATTCTCTTTCAGAAGTACCAAAGCAATTACAAAGCCATGTTGAGAACAATGTCATTTAGGCTAAAATAATACCTCAGCCTGGGTTGCGCACAGGCATGGCTCTGTTCTACAGCCTGAGGAACAGGTCATGAGGGGATCCCATGACCATGGGCACTACAGGTGGTACTTATGTTGTATTTTCTACCCATTAGCAGGTAGTCACACACAAGTACCTTCATCTCCACTGGAGACGAGCTGTTTTTCTGAAACTAGTAATAGTGGTCTGAAACTAGTAATAGTGGTCACAGCTGAAGATGGAAAAAGCCTCAACCCAGCAGCCACACATGCTAATGGAGAAGTATGGGATTGCTCTAATCTCTTTCTTACAAAGGGGAATACTCTTTTAGCTAGTCTCTAGTCAGGTTAGAGTGATGAAATTCTTATACAACAAAGAAGAAGAAAGTTAGATTAAGAATTAAGCTCCTTTATATGGGGAGTACTTTCCAGAAAAGAACTCATAACCTAGCTAAAAATTATGTGGTACACAAAAGCTCCCACTGTTTAAAAAAAAAAAAGAAAAAAACAACAACAACAACAAAACAAAACAAAAAACAAAAACACACAAACCACCACCAAAACCAAAACAAACTATCAAGGTCAGCTCCAACTCACACTTTCATTGCATTATTCAACTTCTTTGCACCTTCCTTCACTCCTTAATCTTCATGAATCTATACCACCACCCTATATGTTCAGAAGTTTATTACCATTCATATTACTAGTGATTACATCACTTTAATATTAAAACCCCAAATCCTTGACTTCCACTTGCTTTCAGAAAGCAGATCAACACAACAGTTTCCTTTGGCATGCAAGGGTTTTGGAGCAGACAACACAGGATTCTCTTTAGAAATGTTGTTTTCACATATACATTGTTCCTGATCTGCATGAAAAAAGACAACATGGTGAAGACCTGCTGCCAGATACTACCACCACGAGTGGTGCAATCGATCTATGTCACAGAAGGTTTACCTAGAATAACTTATGTCAGAAAAATACATTTTTAAGTCTCAGCTGATCCATGCTAACCTTCTCCATGCACGCTTGCAGTTTGTAGCAAGTGTAAAACAAAAATATTTTTGAGATTTAAGGTAATGTATTTTAGCTCATGTTTGCTATACTTGCAGCAGGTCCAAGGTCTTTTTCAGCATCTCAGCTGACACACTAACTCATTAAGCTGCAACAGCTCATGTATGACTTGAATCCTAAGTTACAGGATTATAAAGAGAAGATCTCAACAGAAGTCATAACAGAAGAGGAACAGTCTGAGACTAAACCCTTCTTTAAAAAAAACAATAAAAATAAAAAAATCAGCTTGTCTGCAGAGTCTGCATTCCTGTCAGTTGGTTACAGATTATACAAATGTACATATACTACATGAAATTCATGCAGGTTTTTTTTTTGTTTTGTTTTGAAATAGCTTATGTTTTATAAATCCTTACATGGGGATTTTTATTTTTTTTTTTAGTGAAAAGATATCCAATTTTCAAGCAGTTATTCTACAAGTAAGATCACTGCCTTCTCTCACAATCACTAATAAACTCAACATTAATCTAGTTTTAAAATACTTATTTCACTTGAATTTTATAGTGTTAATGCAACCCTACAACTGTTCATTTTACAGCAATTAGTAGCAGAATTCATTCATGAAACTGATCTGCTTAAGTTTCCTATCTGACCAACTGATTTCTGTGTTCAAGGTCTGAGTTTGAAGGAAAAAAAAAAGCTGATTTTTACCCAAGGTATTTATCAGACACACATGAGTTTCCAGTGACAGGCTGAAGGATATATTTCACAAAGGCATTAAGAATAATGCCACTTCTCCAAATTTATAGTTACCTGATTTTAATTTACATACGGTGATTTTGTAACACTCCTCATTTACGCCACAGAACACCTGAGTTCTCACTGGCTCATGCTCATAAAGGTACTTCTTATTGTATATCACATAGCCTTAGAAAATCCAAGTATTCTTAACCAAGCCATGGCTACTAAACAAAAAAAAGTTTGCTTCTGAAAAAATTCTTTATGAATGAAGAAACTGCTCATCAAAACAGTCTGACAGTGCATTCATGATGTTTATTCAACTAAAATTAACATACATAATTATTCAACTGTTTTAGTAAGAAATGTATTTTTGGTTTACAACATCATCATATAATAATGTGTGCTTCTGGTACATAAGATCCAGAGAGTTTCACATAATTTGTAATTCTACAAAGCAATTTTAAGTTGTGTATTGAAATTTGTGACAAATATACTAGTGTATGTATAATAAATGCACACACTATATCTATCTATCCCCATATATCTTCTTTTCTAAAAAAAAAAATTCTGATCAATCTGTTTACTTAGGAAGTTTCTATCATCATTTACATAAATGGTTCTTACTTGATAATTGTCTAGATCATTAAAATAATTACTGTGTTATTGACTTGTTCCTTATACCAGGAAGAGGCAGAGAGTAGGAACTTCAGACTTCAATAGGCTGGGAAACTCAGCATGAGGGACAGCTCTGAAGTAGCAATTGAACCCAGGGACAGGCAATAAACAACCACAGTGATGCAACTGCTGGCACAGGGAGAGGAAAATGAAGGGGCAGGCCTGATGGGTTCAATGGACAGGTGCCAAGTATGAAACTGGAATCTCGCTGCTGGATTTCCAACACACCAACAATATAAAAAGAAAAAAATGAAACAGAGACTACATCAGTTTTGTTTATTACTACAAGCAGAGCTAAGCAAGATCCTATATTCTACGGTCTATTCTGCGATGTTAAACGTCATGATGGTCTGGGTTCCTACATGAAGATTTAAAGGAATTTAGTTGGCTGTATACGCCAATTTTGGTTAAACTGGACAGGGAAAGAATACACAGCATCCCAGCAGCTGCTTAGCCAACCCAAACAGCTCTATTGATGGAAGAGCTAGCAAATGTTAGCCACCACTATCTCACAGGAAATTCCTCATCTCAGCTTGTGTTTACGCTGTCCTAGGATCATAACACCTTAAACTGATGATTCGCACACTGACAGGGATGGGAAGGAGAGAGGTAGTCATGGAACGAAGGAACAAGTGAATCTAAGATAAAAGGAGGACCTCAAGGTACAAGACTCCTGATGTTTTGAAGCAGGGACCCTGTCATACCAAGCTGGAGACACTCCCAGGAACCTGGATGGAGACAACACAAATAATCCCTGAAACAGAAGGTCACGAAGACACATAGCAATACCCACGTTAGGTAAGGTGACAGAAGAAACTAGTGTCAAATTCTACTCACAGAAACAATAAAATGCACAGCTATAGAATGAGAACTGACTAGGACTTGTGCCAAGAAAGATCTAGGAGTTACAGCTGATTCACATTCAACCTGCAAATCACATTATCACAGTGTTGAAGAAAATACGATGTGCTACACTGAGGTATACTGTCCGAGTACCACATGGACATTTATGGACATTCCCTATTTTTCTTAAGAACTCAGCTGAAGTCTTAGTTATTGTTTTAAGTGCCACAGTTCACAAAAAGGGCAGAACAATTAGAGAAAGTCCGGATGAGAGAAAAAAATGACAATAGGTATAGGAAATGCATCCAAAGACTTGGAAAGAATTTGGGCTGTTTAGTTTAGATCTGAGAAAACTCTGAGGGGACATTACGATATGGTGTCTTCAAGCACAAAACACCTCATCTAAGACAAAAGGAATGAAGTGTACTATAATCCCCACAGGAGACAACACAAAGAATAAAAGACTTAACTTGAAGCAAGAGGGATTTAGGCAAGACATTAGGAGCCTAAAAGTAAGGAGAGTGAAGCACCAAAACAAACTACTCCATAAACTTTTCAAAGCCTCTAGAACGGAAGGGGTTTTAAGAAAAAATGTTGTATAAACATCACTTCAGGAGGTTTTAGGTACAGTTAAGTCTACCTCATTGACAAGGCTTGATTGAATGACTTTTGAAACCTTTGCAAAGGCTTAAAATCTAGGAACAGGAAAGTATAAAAGCCAGGTCCCCAGAAGCAATTGAAGTCTACAACCCTGAAGCTGGTCTGCTTGGTATTTTACAGTTATTGTCCTTATAAAAGGGCTTGAAATCTTTTGTCTTGGCTGTGGAATGTGCAATTGCAAAGACTAATAATTCAGTTTTTGTAAAAAGAATTTTGAGTTTTCAAAAGAATGGAGGGAGAGAATGTCTTGACAGCTATTTAATTCGAAGACAATACATCTTCTAAAATATGTCTTCTCTTCATTCTGCTGCTTTCTTTAACCCTGGGTTCTGCAAGTTTCTCAAATAATGAGAAGGAAACAGATAAATGCTTAGCAATGCAATAGTCCTACTGTGCAGCCATAGATGAAAATACACTGAATTACTGCAAATGGGAAAAAAAAAGTTTTCTAGAGAAATCAATAAAGTGAAAATATTGGAAAGTACTACTAAACAACTTATTTTCTTTTGCGTTAAGTGCAGTGCCTAGGATTTATGCTACTAAGCAGACCATTAAAGTGATCTCGGATTAAACGGAGTTCAGTTGTACACTGCAACTCTAATACTTAAGCACCTCCTGCTCACTAACAGATTGCAGGAAGGAAAGAAAAAAAAAAAACCACCACCTTTGCAAAGGGATCAGATAAAGCATGCATCGCTCCTGATGTGAAAAAGCTACACTTGCAGGTGCTTGCACATACCCCTTTGAACAGGCAAAAAGGCAAGCATCATTATGCACTGACTGTGCAAGTCAGCCTTTGCTTTTAAAGATGGAGTAAATTTTATGCAAACTCATTATTTTTGCAGCTGCTGAAATTTTGCATTTGCTAATAAGAGAAATGAGGTTTCCTTATACCTCCTAACATCCAGGATACAACTCTCAAACAGTTGAATGACCACTGTCACTTTTGGAAGAGCCAGTGCACAATCCAGGCTAACCGCTGATTGTTAAGATATGAATTCCTGTTATACGCATTTCTGTTTTACCCCTGAACTAAGTAACCACTTCAAAGAAATGTAGTCCGTCAAGCTCACAGAATACATTGGATATACCTTTACGCAAGGCATACCTTCAACAGCTTTTGTAAGTGGCTAGCGATTTTCTGCAGCATAAAAGACAGTTCTGATATTTATCTGTAACTCCCTCTCATCCCCAGTTTGGATGACTTAACTTCGTGGGACCACGAAGCTTGGTGACTCATAACATCGTAAGTTCCAAATGCACAGAGGTAGTTAAGCAGTAAGGAACAGTAAAGGTGAGTTGTAATTATCTTCATGTAATTATACCTATGTGGGATAGTAAAAGGGAGTCAAATTTGAAAGGCAAGATGCTGTCAGTAACTCAGGCCAGTTACTGAGAAGTGCTAATAGCATTCTTTGCAGAAGGGAATGGTGATGGTTGGAGCTATCATTGTTGATTATGTTTTCCATCTATGCCCACCCTTCCATCCTTTTCCCCCAGGTCATCCGATGTCTTTCACCACGCTTCCTTACATGACAGTACTTACCACTGCAGGGCCCTGAACCTTGTCCATTTTAAACTGCATTTTTTTTTAAAATTCATAATCAAAATAATTATAGGCAAGCAGATCCCAACAAAAAGAACCGTAGGATTCTGCAAGAAGCTTTCACTACATCTCTACAGATGGGGGGCCTCTATGATCAGAGATTGGTTTAGACTTTTGTTCTGTTGTGGGTGTTTAGTTCTTGCCCCCCAAGTCCTCCAACATGAAGAAAAGTTGGCCAAGATGCCTTTATCTCATAACATGTTTTCAGTCTAACTAAAACAACAAAGGCCGGCAAAGTGCTCTCATCTTTGTTGCCAGTGAGGACACCTGACGAGACACTAAAGATGTTAAAAAAAAAAACAAAAACCACACATACAACCAAAAACACCACACCCCAAAAAATCTGCCTCCTTTTTCCACAGCAGTCAGTGCTTCTTGATTACCAATTTTTAGTGCTATATAACCCTAAGGAATCTGGGACTGCTTTCAGCCCTCCAGAAAAGAGAAGAGAATCCTGAAATTAAGCTTGGAATGTGCAACTCAAGACTTAACTCTTTTCAGATTGACCATCAGTCATGGGTAATGTAGACTTTGGAGGTTTGACTCTTCCCTCTCATATCCCTTGTCAACTCATACCTTCAATAAGGTTGCATAGCAGAGTAAGTAACAGCAAAACTAAACACTTCTATTAATGGGATTGCTAATAAATCTAATTAAACACAGACTGGAAGAGAATCCAGCTTACTATTCCACTGCCACAGCAGATCTTCAGCACTGGAGATTATGACAACGGCAGTAAGTTTGCTGAAAATAGTCTCTATTTCCTCAATGTCAATTTTCTGATATTGAAAATTAAATACAAAAACCAATATTAAAAACAAAAACCAAAAAAAAAACCCCAAACCCAAATGACCCCCCACAACTTAGTGGGGGGAATAATACAGTCAGGGCATTTTATACAGGGTTGCTAGTAATACCAAGAATTAAAATGCAGTTTTCAGATCTGAGATACTGAAAATAAACTCATCTCTCATTTAAAAAAAAAAAAAAGTGAGAGAGATGTTTATGTCAAGATGCCAGAGACAAAAAGACAATTATACAATTGACGAGGAGATCTAACTAAACTTCTTTACAGTATTGCCACCATAGCCACCCTAATATAAGTGAAACAAAGGGGAAAAAAATCCTACTGTGGGTGAAGCTAAATAATTCTACTAATTTAATAAAAGCCACATAGATGTACTACATATACAGTCAAAGGATCAATGTATAATTAAAATGTTCTACATCTATGTTTAGAATGTTGGAATGTAAATACAGTATCAAGAAATTCAGATTTTACAGATATCAATCCCACTACAAAAAAATTTCTTTTTACTTTTTCTTTCATGTTATTTCCCATATTTATTTGCAGAACACGTTTAACACATTTCCCCCCCCTAAAAATAAGTATGCACTTAAGCAAAGGAATATAACCTGCAAGGCTCAGAGAAGTACAGGTTGTGGGACTTCCTGCATCTACTAAATTGTTTAGAATTAAGTATATTTAATGTTAATTTCACACATAAAATACCTACTCTTTTACTACAAAATGCACACCTAACCTCTCACTTTTCCCTCTGGGAAAGTCATGCCTGTCAAGAGAAGCTACTCTTAAGCGTATTAAGCTTTAGCATATTAAGACAAACATTTGCCATCTCATCTCCAATTTTATTTTATGTTGACAGCAGAGTAGCCAGCTTTTGCCTTTAATTATTTACTGCATGACCCCAAAATAAATCCTATAAAAAAAAAAAAAAAAAACGAAAAAAGATTGAAAACTCCATTATTCACCCTCTGATCAGTACCATACATACACGTAAGGGTAATGCTTAAGGATAGCTCAAATAAAAAAGAAAACATTGAAATAAGGAAAGAGAGAATACATAATAATCTAAGAATTGCTCAGTAAGAATTATCAGCAGTTTAACAGTCATCTCACAGGCAAGTTTTAGTTTCCTTGCCTTTAAACTAAACTTACGAAAAGAAAAAATACCTACTGGTGTCTGCCTGGCTGCCCACGCTGATGTATCTGTCATTTCCAGGAAGGGCTGTTTGGTAATAAGTTGCCTCCTCTAGCTGGGGAACCTTGGCATTCTTCGCAGTGAGGAAAGCCACAGCCAACTCCAGATTACCATTGCTGTCCTTTAAGCATCAACAAAACAAGAAGTGAGAGACCCCTCACCCTTTTTTAATTTTTCTTAACAGCAAAGGACCACATTACAAGCAACTTAAAAGATCAATGACAGATTGTATTTCCACGTAAAATACTGATGAGGAAAGAAAGTTTCCAAACTTGACATGTTCTGCATACTTCACTATTTTTAACTGAAGTAAAGATAAAACATCTTATAAAAATTTACTTCGGTAGAATTCCACTTATTTCAGAAAAAAAATTGAAGGTCAACCTCTCAACAAGCATAATCAGCACACTCTCAGACTTCAACAGCCATCAGCTGAATTCTTCTGAAAGTCTACCATTTCATTTTTAAAGCCAGAAATACTAGCTTTTGTGGGACAGTTGTATACATGATTTATGCTGAATCTGAAGCAACAACTCTCCCTATATAATTTAAATTCACTAAATCCTCAGTTACCACGTATAAATGCTTCAAAAAGCTCTGCTTGAGGGAGACAAGGCATCTTTTTTTTATTTTATATATATTTATATATACATATATAAAATTTGGGGAAACAGAATGCAGAGAGACCTGCCATTCTTTACTTGCATCACAGAGCTCTTCTGTGCTATGAAAGAATTTACAATGGTTGAAAAAAAAAAAAAACCAAAACAGTGAAGCAATAGCAAATTAGTAATAAGTGTAAAGTTCAAGGACAATTCTTCACTCTACATACCGAGCAGGACCTGTCCATAATAGAAAACTTAACTACTTCTTGATAAGAAAACAACACTTAACTCATCAGGAGTTCACCAGCTGTAGTATCACCAAGGAATCTCAAAACACTTTAGCCAAGGGTTAAACGCAAGTCATACCATTCCTGTCTTTTCATTTCTGAACACCAGATTATTTTATGTCAGTACCAAAACAAATCAAGATTCCTTCTAAAGTGAACCAGCCATCATTACCAGCTTTTTTCCCCCCAAAATAAATCTTAAAAGTATTCAAGCTGGGAATGGAAGGGAAGGAAGGGAAGACGAGAGTAAGAAAGGGTGGGGCGTAGGGCTTTCACAGGCAGTTAAGATGTACACATTCAGCTGCAAGTTGGACACGTCCATCTTACCTTCAGTGCCTGTTGTAGTACCTGGATGTCATTGATACCAGTGATCTCCCGCAGCTGATTTAAAAATGTTTGCTGGTGCTAAAAACAAAACAGATCATCAAAATAAAGTAAGAGCCAAACAACAGCAAAACCAGTTACTTACAAGAGTATGCTTCTCTACAAATATTAAAAGTATCTCCATATAAGCTTATAAGTTGTTATTTGTCTTAGTTTCTGCAACTCGGGAACTTTTCATTCCCAAATTTAGTGTTTTGGTTTGGTTGGGCTTGGGGGTATTTTTTTTTAAAAAAAAAAAAATTAATGATGGGCAAGCTTATGCAACATGGGTTTGAGGAGCCTATATAAAGCCACAATTGGCCCTCCTAAACAAATAAAACTCCATCGCTTGGTCTTCAAAGGCAGCAGGGGAAATAGTTGACCGAATTCCCATCAAAACCAATTTCTTCAACTCACAATTATTCTCAATCCCGCTATTTCCTTAATATACACAATTCCCAGCCGTTCCAACCTCAAAGCTAAGAAATTAATCCTTACTGCTCATTTAGGTGTTTTAAGAGAAGTACTATAAAAATATCCACACAAACCAGTGTTTTTCAAGACTAAAGCAAAACCTTAGGAATCAGTCTTAACCGCCTTCCTAGACCAGTTGAACCCAACTCTCCCAAATCACAGTATCAGACAGCATCTATGCCTGTGTTTCAAGTAACACTTGGAGTTAGAAAAGAATAAGAGATTCTGGGTCTCCTGAATATTCAATTCAAACGAATTTTCAGGCTGTGTTTTTTTTTTTTTAAATAAAAATCTGGTCCCACTCCTGTTTAGAGCCAACAGATGACTCCTTCCATTCATGCTCAGATATCACATCATAGAGGCAAAAAGCGGGCACTAGGCTGAAACAATCCTTGAACTCCAGTTAACCATTAAGACCATCTTAACCATTAAAACCATGAAAACACAGAGGACTGACCATTGTTCCATACTAACAAATTCCATTCTTCCTTTGGCAGTTGGGAAAAGGAGAAAAGCTTGGGGGTATTTCCAAGTGGTTTTTCTTTTTTATTGTTTGCCTACCACATCCTGAACTCAAAACAATAACTTCATCTATAAAAGAAAAGAATTTGTAAAGTACAGGGTTTTGTTTGCTAGACAAAAAGCGTATTTCCTATCAGTGACAAATAAACGTTCTCATGTTACTCTCCAAATTCGATTAAAAAACCCAAATATAATTGTCTTGTGGCTACTTCTAAAACACTTCTCTTTAAAACAAATTGTTTAAAATCAAATATTCAAATACCCTTATTCTCCCCTTATCACAGCTTTGTATAGAAGAGGAAATTAAGAACTCCATGAATGTTGAATTTCCCAGTGTGAAATTAACCTGGCAGGCACTACTTCATGCCCTAATAAGTTGAAATAGAAGGCATATAGTTCAGGATGTTTATGAATTACATACGTAATCTTCCTTTCATTTATGATCCTAAGGGACACTGCTAACAATCCAATTTGCCTTTCTTTTTTTTTTTCTTTTTAAAAAACCCTGCTATTGGCAGAAGAAAAGTAAAGTGATGCAGGAAAACAAACTCCTACTCTATCCCCATCCCTCACCCCCTCATTTGTTTACTCTCTGCATTTCATAGCACTGTACAAAGGCAGGACTTGTTTCCCCTATGAAGTTGCTTTCCTGCCCCTGGGTCTGGCAAGAAGCAAAGAAAAGAAATAGAGTATCTGGGAAAAGTAATTACAACAGCATTAAAACTGGCAGGAGCAATTCAAGGGCAGTGCATGGCAGCAAAATGGATTTCTTTTTTGTATTTTCTACCAATGCGATGGTTAATAAAATGGAAAATAGGTTCACTGTAAATTATGATAGCACGTTATAACAGATTTCTGTATCTTCCACAACATATACAACACTTAGAAAGGCTGACTGGAGGATATTCATTGTTCACAGAGATTGGGAAAAGACAGAAGAGACATAGTTTACCAACAAACAATCTCTTAGCAGTTCAAAATATTGGCTCTTAATTTATGAGCACAGCTGCGACTTATAAGCCTAGACATCTGTAGTTTATATCCAGATTTCGGTATTCCAGTGTAAAGCTGTTGTTCGAAGCCCCCTTCCGAAGGACATACACATTTAACAGATCAGAACCAGACCCAGAGACGCCCCTTTCTCATCAAGAGATTATTTAAGTACCTAAATACACTTTTTTAAGGCCAAGAGTTTAAGGCACTTGGCTCCAAAATTTCTAACTGGTAATTAAGTGAACAACACAGAAAATCTGTAAGAATCCTAGTTACAAGTTACAGAAATTAAGAGTAAAATTAACAGTTATCCTGAATACCTCAAATGGAGCTAAACTGCTTTGGAGACACAAACACCTGATTTAGATATTCCTGGCTTTTCAGGTGAACATGGACAAGCTGGCATTAACCTCCAATTGAATTATTTCAAATCACACAGAAGTTAAAGAATGACAATACGCTTCCCTTCCTAGAAGGAGAAGGAAAAAGATAAAAATAAAGCAACAAAAAAAAGTATCATTGAAGTTACTTCCACCTGATCGATGTGTTTTCTTAATACCTGCTAGTAGACTAACAGGTCTTCAAGAAACAATTCTGAAACTGCACACAGCAGCCTAAAACCCCTTAACATTTTTTTACACTGGCGGCCTTCTCCTCCGTGCGTTCACCACTCTCCTCTCATCCCCTCAAACCTGACATAACTGCACCATCTTTACCGTGTACAAACCCTTCTTACAGCTGCATGTTTAACTTTGCCATTATTCTCCTTTAATATTAAATTGACAATATGTTATCACCCATGAAACTGTATTAATACCGGTAATTCTGTTTCTTTTCATTACAAGTGACAGTGCAGGCAGTTACTATCAAACCCTTTCCTCATTCATTAATCAGAGGGTGAGATCAAATTTTCTTTTTGTTTTTCTTTTCGCTGAAGAAGTTTAAAAAAGACAATTGTACTCATGTTCAGAGAGCTGAGATTAAAGTCACATCAAGAATGAAGTAATTTAGTGCATCTGCACTAGACTGCCAAAGTCAAAATGGGTGAAGCTTATTGGTTTTGAATTATATTCCTTTAGTACATGCTATTGTGGTATATAGGATGATTTTATAAAAAGATTTTATTTTATTATACCCATGGCTGAAGTCTGGAGATCAATTTCTAATGCAACTGCTAAACAATGAAGTCTCTTCTGTATTGTAACCGATATTTAATAGTCTACTTAGGACAGACTTCTACACACAAAAGCAAGCCACCCTCCTTACCCTATTAATACTCTGCTCAATTACATCCACCCCAGAAGCTTTACTCTTCCTGGAGCTTGGGCTATCTTGAGTTGAAGTGATTGTAGCAAAAGGACCCTCAAACATCCACGAACAGTCATGTAGCTATTCTAAATGATTATTATTGTAATTCACTCAAAGGCTTACCAAAAATACTCATAAAAGTTCACACTACACTAAAGCAAAGCTGAAAAGTGAAGAAGGCAGCCTACAAGTATTTACAAACATCTGAAGCATCTACACTAATATATGTTAATTAAATTGGGTCAGCGAGGGAGATTCAGAACACAACTAGAAGTCCTAACAAATTGTTTCTTTTTTCCAACACAGCTCTTCCCCAATTCCCTATTTTTTCCAACCTTGCATTAGTAGAGGTTCAAATTCCGAATTATAACTCACTGCACTTTAATTCAATACGCAACCTCTCTCCAAATGCAGATCCAAAGCGATTATTCCAACAGAACCAGGCACAACTACTGGTACACAGAAACCCACTTCAGTTCTTCCAGAGCTTATTTGCCTGTACCCGCTTCCGTTTGCCATCCTTTCCTCAAATTTACATGACAGATTCCATAGTTTA